GAATATTTGCTCTGTGCTTCCTCTGCAGACACTAACGTGTACCCGGGGTTAGCAGTGTTTTTCCAGAATGCATTAATATTTTTCAGGTAAGTTACCTGGGCAAATTCCCCTCCTTCCAAAGAGACTTTCCTGCTTCCATACATTGATACCCCTGGAAAAGCAGCTCTCTCTTCTACTCCCTTTGCTGCAGAGCTTAGAAACAAGGGATGTTCAGAGTTTTCTGGATGAGCTATGGCCAGAGTCTTTGGGTAATGGCAATCATTCACATGTGTCCTACACATCCCTTGGCTTCCATCCCAGCACAGCAAACTGGGAGCTCCAATTCCCTTTTCCAGGCTATTTCACACCAATGGCTCAGTTCTCTGGTAGTTGATATTCCCTGTATTTCCTTCCACTGGCTGAGCTCTCAGTTATAGAGTGATAATTCCTTTTCCTAAGAGCATGGTGGTGTGTTTTATGACAGCACACTCGATTTATTTCAAATAATATTGCTAAATCTATCATGCAACACTTGGAAATTGATTTGGTGTCTCTAATACCTCTTTTCAGCTGTGGAATGCATTTTGCAATCCATGGATTTTATTAATAAATGACACTGTAAGTGTTAAGCAGTGTCAGTTCCAAGATCAGTCACTGTAAATTTTCACCTCACTTCCTTTCTTTTTTAAATTCCTGGCTGACCCTTTTCCTTCCAGTCCCACTCCAGATGCTTTGCAGTGACCTGGATCAATGGGCTCTGGGAAATGAGTGATGTTCCTGCAGGAAACAGCAGCTTCTAAATCTCCTCTGGGACTGAAAAGGGAAACTGCTGAAGGCAGATTTTGTGCCTGGACTGTTTTGTCTTTTTTAGAATCCCAGGTTTGGGTTGGAAGGGACCTGAAAGCCCATTCAGTCCCACTTGGGCAGGGACACCTCCCATTGTCCCAGGTGGCTCCAAACCCTGTCCAGCCTGGCCTTGGACACTGCCAGGGATCCAGGGGCAGCCACAATATTGGAAATTCTGGAAGTCAAATTGTAATTTGGATCTGACTCTACCACAGCCTCAATATTCTTTCTGATTTGCTCATAAAATTGGAGTTGCTTAAGTTTTATCCCAGCACAAGTCACACTGATCTGATTCCYGGTGCCAGAGTGAGACTTGCTACTCTGGACTCCTTGAATTTCATAAATACCAGGTTTTTCCTTCGGAACGGCTGTGAAAATGGTTATTTTTTGTTTGAGCTTCAGGTGGCTCCCACAGCTCCAGCCATGCCCAGGAAAACAAATATAAATAYCTAACCCAGGTTCTGACCTGACTAAAAGTTCAGGGCTGTTGATTTGCACAGGCTAAGATTTAAGGACACTGCTAAAATTACCTTATGTGTGCTCTGACTTTTATATCTTTTATTTTTCCCCCTTAGCACTCTGATCTACAAGTTTGGGAGAACAGAAGAGCTGTGGGGCTGAGCTCCCTCCTGCTCTGCTCCACAGTTGCCACGTGGTTCTCTGTATGTAGATAATTCACAGTCCCCTGTTCTCGGTTGGCTCCCCAAACTGTTGGAACTGAGACAATTCCAGGCTCTGTCCACAGCTCCTCTTTTCCCAGGACACACTTGTGAATATGTACATAGGACTGTGAATATTTCAAAGGGAATGGCAGGCTGCCAGGCTTTCCTGCTGCAATCTCCAGGCTTTTTCCTTCAAATCCATGGCTTTCCACCAGTTTCATCTTCCAAACCTTCACCTGTGTCCRAGGCTTCGGTGAACCATTAGTGAGCAAACAGGACAAAGCCCTTCCCTGGGCCAGGGGCCATGCTGGGATAAGAGCTGATTTTAAGAATTTTATATTATTGTTCAGGTAAATAAAAAGTAGTTTTTTTTTTCTTTTAGGAAAAGGTTATGGGTTTTTAAGCAAGTCCCTACACTCAGCAGGTTGTGCATGGCAAAGCAAAGTATTCCTGACTTGTGATGGCTCTGGCACAAAGGACATTTGCTGGCACCACAGTCCTTGGAATTAATTTCATGCTGCTCAGTGTAAGAGATACCAGTTGGTATTTAATGTATTTCTTGATATTAGAATTAAAAACTCCAACAAACTGATGCCAGTTGTACTTGATGTAAAGAATAAATGAGTCAGACATGAGTCAAACATCTTTCAACTCATGCAAGTGTCATTGTCTCCAGGGGAAACAGTTTGCTGATAAATGAGTTTTCCTGACCTGTTCCCTCTCTGCTTAAAAGGAAGGGGGATAGGGATGTATTTACTTGTTCACCTTGAGTAATTTCAAGGTTCAGTGAATTCTAGAAGTGACTCATAGCCAGTTTTAGGGTTGCTATTGCCTCAGTTAAAATATATTTCTCTCTTACATTTTATGKTTTTTTCACTATGAATTATTGAAAGCCAGTTTTTCATCTCAGTGGAGTGAAAGAGAAAGTGAGGCTGAGGTTGTTTAATATCCCAGGAGCACTCCTGTGGATCCATTTGCTGTGGGTGAGTCCTTCTCATGAGTTCTCTGTGGTTTTTAGAGCATTTTACTCTCCCCTGTGTCCGAAGGCTTTTACAGCTTCCCCATATCAAAGCTGCTGGTGTCAGAGTGCTTAGTGGAAGTTCTGTGCTGGTTCCTGGAAACTTTGTCACCACCAGCTCTGGGTGGGAATCGCTCCAGGGACAGGAGATGGGGCCAGGTTTGGAGCTGCCCTTTGCCCTGGCTGGAGTAACTCATCCCACAGGAGCAAAGAGGTGACCACTGGTTGGAATTGCAGGAAACTGCAATAAAAACGGTCTTCTATTCTCCAAATAGTGAATTCACAGGATCATGGGAGAGGAAATGGGGCCAGGTTTGGAGCTGCCCTTTGCCCTGGCTGGAGTAACTCATCCCACAGGAGCAAAGAGGTGACCACTGGTTGGAATTGCAGAAAACTGCAATGAAAATGGGCTTTTATTCTTCAGATAGTGAATTAACAGGGCCATTGTACAGAAACTCACCTCTACACGTGGCTTGCACCATGGAGTAAGTAAAAACAGGCTTTTCTTTTCAGTCTGTCAGGTTTGTTGCCCAGGAGCTTGGGAATGTTTCTGGGGTTTCTTAGAAAGTCAGGAAGAAGTGTGGCCTGTAATTAATCCCAGTACCTGGACTTGGAACTTGAACACACAAAGCCAGGCTGGGAGAGCTGGGGATGCTCACGTGGAGAAGGGAAGGATCCAGGGAGAGCTCAGAGCYCCTTTTGGGGCCTGAAGGGGCTCCAGGAGAGCTGGAGAGGGACTGGGGACAAGGGCTGCAGGGACAGGAAGGGCTCAGTGACAAGCCCTGAGTTTCTCCCAGCAAAAGGACTTTCCTCGGTCTCTTTGTGTAAAACTATTCACAACACAGTCCCTGACAGCAGTCCAGGGTAGGGTTTATTCAGGAATCCACACATCCATATCCCCRGAGGTGTTTTTACCTGATTTCTGCYCTCTGTTGTTCATCAGCTAGTCCCTTTGTGCGCTGTGGTTCCCATCTGTTCCCAGTGTGGGTGATCCAAGCAGGCCTGCTGCTGATGTGACAATTCCCACATGAGTCAGGCTTCCCTGAAGCTCCCTGAGTCAGCAGCGTGGCTAATCCTGAGGGMTTAGATCCCTTCTACAAGGAAATATCTGATAGAGCTGCTGGCCTGGGGTGTTCCTGGAAAGGCTGAGACTGCTGCACCTCAGCTCTGCCAGGGCCAGGCACTTCCCAACACCCAGCTCTGGGTGGTTTTTTTAAACAGCTCATATCAAACCCAGGAAAAAACTATCAAATAAACCCCATCTTTTTAGTACAGAAGAGGTTCACTTGTTCTTTGTGCTTTATTAGAYACATCCAGACCCCACAGAGGGTGATGTGAGATTTACCTTGGGCTCTTCTACTTTAAGGCACTMAAAACAACAACTCTCAGTCAACTTTTCTTCTGCTGGTGGCCARCAAGAGGTTTTAGTGTCTGACAGTGACCGATAAACATTGTAAAAACTCAGAGCACAATTATTTTCAGGTCCTTTGAGGTGTGCAGGGGCCTGGCCTGGCTGCAGGAGCAGATTAATGCTTCCAGGAGGGTGGGAGGAGGCAGATACCAGCAGGCCTCTCTGGGAGGGGTTCTTGGCACAGGTTCATCCTGAGSAAAGTACTCACAAACTTCTTTTTAGTTTGTCCTGCACTTCAAATGATTCAGGAAAGCAGACTGGGGTGGGTATAATGGGAGGATTATTGCCAACAAAACCAAAACCAGTATGAACAGAATTCACATTGCAACTCTTCAGAGCCTGAAAAACCCCAGGTTATCCCACACCAATAAAGTGCTGTTATTCCTCCAAGCTTCCTTCCAACCTGGGGTGGGAATTCACCCCTTTTCTCMATCTTCAGGCAGTTTAGTGTTCCTTTCCCTTCCCCATTGCCTCTTTCAGTGCCTCTGGCAGAGCGAGGAGCGGGGGGAGCTCAGCAGAAACTGATGGCTCCATGCTCAGGATTGTCCTGCCAGCAGCCACACCACGGGAGCAGCTTCTGGATAGTCCTGGAGCAGGTGACACTCACTGGGGTGGCCCTTCAGGGACCTCCCWGTCCTTGGAGGTGCTGGGTGAAGGAGCCTCACCCTCGGGGCCACCTCCTTCTTCAACCACAACAGCCAGTGGCTCATCCTCTGTGAGACTGTCCAGCTCCTCCAAGCCAGCTGTGTCAGGGTCCCTCAGGAACTGGAAAAATCCAGAAAACACCAGGTTAGATCCCTGTTAGAAATTCCAGAGAAAAACAAGTTGCTCCAGCCCAGAGTTCAGRGCAGGAGCTGCTACCTGGATATTCCATCCTGGGCTTCCTTGAAACTACACTAAAAAAGGAGAAGGTTAAAAAAAATTATTTCTGTGGGGGCAAAAGAAATAAATTAGCACTCCAACATCCCTTCGAGAGAGTTAAAGCAGCAATTCCTGGCTGGGTGCTTTGGGGTTTTGTTTAATAAATTCTGGCCGACTTTTTCATGTGAGTTCAAGCAAATTCCTATGAGTTAAGAACAAACCAGTCCCATCTCCCATCTGGGAGATCCTCCAGCTGCAGGAATCCAGCAGCTGGTGCAAATGGGATCCAAGGTCCTGGATGGAGCAGGGCCAGGAAAGTGGGAGCWGCACCAGGAACCCCCCTGACATTCTGCCCTTGCAGTTACAACTTCCCTTGACTCCGCCTCTGCTCCCCTCCCCTCTAAAATTAACTCAGCACCTTTCCAAGGGTATTGAATCAAATAAAAGAGAGAAATCAAAGCAAGGAGTGGGACAGATCGAGGTGAGTTTGAGGGAAGGCTCCCCTTTCTCTGCAGTCACAGCAAGGCTAATGAGCCACAGGATTGTTTTTCCAAAACCCCAAACAGATCCAAATTCCAGACACAAACAAACCTCRACTTGGCTTCTCTGCTCCCTGAAACTCAGACCCTGAGAGCTCAGATCCTGCTGGGAATGAGGGAAGCTCGGATTTGTCCTGCAAACCTAAAGGAGTTCACACAGAACTGCCTTATGTGACTCAGCATTGCCAATTCCTGTTTTAGGAGGACCCCCAGGTTGGCTGATCCTTTTTAGAAATACACATTTTAAACATTCTGCAAGCTCCCTGCTTATCTTTCATTTCTTATCTTTCATTTCTTATCCTTCATTTCTTATCCTGCTCGTGGCTCCATCCCAGGCTCGTGGCTGTGTGAAGATCCACTATTGCTGCACATTTATGTGGAAAATTAATCCTGTGCTTCCAGAACATAGGATGAGCCTCAGTTCTTTGTATAAAATGCTTCACTATTTTAATATCCTGTAAATTTTTAAAAATATTTCAATACCCTGTATAATTATTTTTTCAATTCTTTTTACCCTATACAATTAGAGTTTAAATTATTTTAATACCCTGTAAAAGGATTTTTTTTATTATTTTAATACTCTTACAAGGATTTTTTACTCTTTTAATAGCCTGCACAATTATTTTTTAATTATTTCAATACCCTGTACATGGATATTTTTACTATTTTAATACACTATAGAAGAATTTTTTACTGTATTAATAATTTGTAGAAAGGGTATTTTGTTTACTATTTTAATACCCTGTACAAGGAGTTTTTCATTATTTTAATACTCTGCACTTTTTTTTTACTATTTTAATACTCTATACATGGATATTTTTACTATTTTAATACACTATAGTCCTATATTAATAGCTTGTAGAAGGAGTATTTTGTTTACTATTTYAATACCCTGTACAAGGAGTTTTTTATTGTTTTAACACCCTGCACAAGGATTTTTTTACAATTTTAATAASCTATACAAGGATATTTGGCTATTTTAATAGACTTAAAGGGTTTTTTTCCCCCTATTTTAGTACACAGTACATGGATTCTTTTTTTTACCATTTTAATGCACTGTATGAGGAGGGTTTTTTACCATTTTAACACAATGTACATGGTGCTTTTTTTCCCCTAAATGAGATACGCTTCACTTGAAACTGACCCCTATGAAATGTCAGCTGAGGCAGCACGAAGAGAAAAAATTATTTACTCTGGGTTCATTCATCCCCATGGCTACAAAAAGCTGGAAATCACTTGAAGAAGCACAGRACTCCCACAGTGCTCACACAGAGATAAAAAAAAATCCACCTCCAAGAGCTGCACACAAATAAAAGCTTTTAAAAACYCAGAATATTTTGCTGAATAAGAACTTTTAAATCAAAGCTTTGTTTCAGGGCTGCTTCTTGTTGTAAGGACCGAAAAAGGAAGAAGAGCAGGACTGAAACCACGTGGTTGAGCACAGAAATGTCTGAGTTACAGCAGGAAAATTCCCCAGGATCAGCTTTTTCATCTGAGTCCTGCTAAAAAAAGAAAAGAGGAAAAGCCCAGGAAAATCCCCCTGAGATCATCCTGAGGCTTCAAAACAAATAATCAGGGTCTGTTAATTAAAAATARTCTGGGTTTGCTTTTTCACATCCCAATCCGGTCAGACCCGGCTCCAGTCCTTGCTTCACAAAACCCCTCCTTTTTGCTCCCAGTGAGCCTCAGTTTGAGGCAGAGGAGCAAAGAGAGGAAAAGGAACCAGATCAGGATCAGGCTCGGGTTTCTCCAGGAAAACACAGCCAGGTTTGTGTCCCAGGACACAGAAAGGACCCTTCAGTTCAGCAAAAGAGGAAAGATGTGACATCACAGTCAGAAAAGCCCCAGTTTTGAGAAATCACTTGTTTATCTTTTTTTTTGTTTTTTTCAACATCAGCTTCTGTTGACGCTTCCCTCAAGCTCCTCTTCTGCAGGAGAAACCCCCCAACTCCCCACGTACCTCCTTGAAGTGGGATGGGATTTGCAGAGGTGGCTGAGACCAATATTTGATTTTTTGGTGGTGTTTCCACAGGAACAATAAACCAAATGCCACCAGGTTCACAACGAGTAACCCCAAGAAAAACAGGGGGATGATGTATCCAGCTCGGGTTGCTTCTGGAAAAGAAGGAAAAGATTTAAATACATGTGACAGGTTCATAATTATGGAATGRTTTGGGTTGGAAAGGGACCTTAAAGCCCACCCAGTGCCACCCCTGCCATGGCAGGGACACCTCCCACTGTCCCAGGCTGCTCCCAGCCCCCATGTCCAGCCTGGCCTTGGGCACTCAAAGGGATCCAGGGGCAGCCACAGCTTCTCTGGGCACCCTGTGCCAGGGCCTGCCCACYCTCCCAGGGAACAATTCCTGCCCAATATCCCATCTGGCCCTGCCCTCTGGCACTGGGRAGCCATTCCCTGGCTCCTGTCCCTCCAGCCCTTGTCCCCAGTCCCTCCCCAGCTCTCCTGGAGCCCCTTYARGCCCYGGCAGGGGCTCTGAGCTCTCCCTGGATCTTTCCCTTCCCCAGGTGGTTCCAGAGGGGCTCCAGCAGGATTATGAAGGAAAAGGAGAAGGGATCRAGTAGAACACAAACCCTCCATCCCTGGCTGAAAATCCCTGATTATTTTGCCCCTCATGCCCAGTGTGAACTCCCCATGGTGCTCCCAGTTCCTGATACACTGGGTGTGGAAGGGACCAGTTCAGGTGATTCAGGATTCGTGTTCTACCTCATCCCACTCCACACAGAAATAACATTCCCGTTCCATACCACTGAGGGCAGTTCTGTGACACTCTGGGCCACTTGGTTGTCCTTGTAACAAGTGACCTGAGTAGATCTTCAACTGCACTTGAATGCTGAAGCAATAAAGTGTTGATTCCTTCAGATTTCCAATGTGGAATAGTGTCTTGCTTTCATTTAGCTTCTGCTGAAAAGACACACACAAAAAAAAAAGTGTTACTGTAAAAACCAGACCAGTTTTCAAGACAAACATCCCTCCCCCACTTCAGTCTCACATTCAAAAATACCAGATTTTTTTTTTTCCTCGCTCAGCTTTCAAAAATAACAGAAGCAGAGGAATATTTCAGTTTTCCTGGGGGTTTTGATGCAGCTTCTGCAGCAGCTCAGGGAGCAAAACACAGGGAAGGGGAGGGGAAAATGAAACCACGATGACTCCTTTCCTGGGTCTCAACTGAAGGTATTCTGTGTGTGAGAAAAACACACACTGGTGCAAGGCAGGAAGGAAGTGGAGGCAATTTATCAAGGACTTTGAAGCAAGAGGGCAATTGAAATAATTTTTTTTCTACTTCTGTTTTTTAAAAGTCTGACTTTAGACTGACGTCATTTGGAAGCTTCTTCCTCTTTTTTTTAACTTAATTTTTCTAAATTTGAATTACTACCWCCCCTGCACTTTTGACCTGTCCCGAGGCCCCAGGCAGCAGCAGGAGGACACAATGATCCCAAAATCTCTGAGCCCCACGTGGGACAGGACTGGCTCACCCCAACTCATCCCAGCACATTACTAACACCTCCTCCTCTCCCTGCCCTGGGATCAGGCCCCAGCAGCTGCTCCTGCAGTTCCAGCACAGCAAAGGGGGGGAAGGACATTCCAGAGTTTTCCAAACTGCCTGAGGAAACTCTGAAATCAAAAGTCACCTTTGGCACCAATTCTCTTCCCSGATCTGCAGAGGGATTGAATCCTTTTCCATCTAGAGGAAAGAAGTTTCTAAATTTGGTGGTGCAGCAATCCTTGTGCCAAGGCCAGAGGAGCCCTTTTCCCAAAACCCTTGGGAAGCATGGTGACCCTTTCTGGATACAAAATACACTGATCTTCTGTCCCCATTTGCTGTTCTGCCAAGAGACACTGACTCACATCCCTCAGTCCCCAGGCACAAAGAACAAATCAGAGAGAATTCTTACTTTTTCTGTAGGACTTGTTGTATTCTCCCAGTAGGACACGTGATACTGGAGAATGTCCCCAAGCTCGGGGGTGAAAGGAGGGCTGACCCTGACGAGCAGCGAGTCAGGGCTGACACTCACACTGTTCACCCTGGGGGGGCCCAGAGTAGCTGGAAAAAAACACAGAGAGAGCAGGGAAACCCTGGGGTGTACAGCTGGCTCCAGTTCCACAGAATTTCCCAGGATCCCTGAGGGTGGAAAAGCCCTCCCAGCCCATGGAGTSCCAGCTGTGCCCGATGCCCACCTTGTCCCCAGCCCAGAGCACTCAGTGCCACCTCCAGCCCTTCCTGGGACACCTCCAGGGATGGGGACTCCAAAGCTCCCTGGGCAGCCCCTGCCAAGGCCTGAGCACCCTTTCCATGGGCAAATTCCTCCTGGTGTCCACCCTGAGCCTCCCCTGGCCCAGCCTGAGGCCGTTCCCTCTCCTCCTGTCCCTGTTCCCTGGAGCAGAGCCCGACCCCCCCGGCTGCCCCCTCCTGTCAGGGAGTTGTGCAGAGCCACAAGGTYCCCCCGGAGCCTCCTTTGCTCCAGGCTCAGCCCCTTTCCCAGCTCCCTCAGCTGCTCCTGGGGCTCCAGCCCCTTCCCAGCTCCGCTCCCTGCCCTGGATACTCTCAGCAAACACCCCAAATATCGACAGCTTTTGCTCAAGAAAGGGAAAACATTTCCTCATCTACTTAATGCACTTACAATATTTGCTTAACTTTCCCTGGAAATTCAGTAAATATTAACCAAGAGTTAATACTCAGAAGTATCTGAGTTCATCTACAGTTACTGGCCATAAAATCTTTATCTTTTCTTTTCCTTTGATCAGCCTGCCACACATTCCATGTTCCCTAAAACCCCAGTGTTTGGTGCCTAGATTGGAGGAGGAATAACGAAATTTCCTCTCCTTGCTTTGATGTCTCCATATGTCCCTTAGGATAAACATGACCTCCTTTTGTGAAGTGCTGTCAGGTCTGAATCATGAAAAATACCAGTAAAGTACTGTCAGAAGCACTCATTAACAGCAAAAATCACTCCTTGCATGCACCAATTCCTCACTTTGCCTCCCACCCAGCAGCCCTGATCCAAACCCTGAAGGAGAAGCCCAGGGATTGGTGTCTGAGAACTGATCTCCATGGCAGTGACATAAGAATGACCCCAGRACATTCCTCATCTCCCACCCTAAGCCTTTGCTTTGTCCCATATTCCCATCAGCTCCCATCCCAGCCCCTAGAGGATTCTCCTCCCAAACAATCCTGCAGCACAGGTTGTGGGTACATCACTGTTCAGTGCAGGATTCGGGCATCTCCTCGCTCTGCTGCCAGAGAAAAGCCAGGATTTAGAACCAGGGGAAGTATCACGCTCTGGAGCTTGCACCATCACTGCTCCTCAGCAGGTCTGGGAGATCAGGAACCTGAGTCCATAAACCCCTTTCTCTGCTTTGTTCCCATTTCAGAGATGTTTTCTAAATGAACATTGGCTTTTTCTTTTTAATCCTGCAACTCTGCACAGCAAGGCAGAGAGCAGATTGTAGAACAACAACTCTTGCTCATACCAGAGGGGTTGTGGGCATTCCATCCTTGGAAGTGTCCAAGACYAGGCTGGACATTGTGTGTTGGACATGCTTGGGACACCCTGGGACAGTGGAAGGTGTCCCTGCCTGTGGCAGAGGTAGGCAACTTTAATGTCTCTTCCAACTAAACCCATTCTGGGATTCTGTGATCTAAAGTGTGTCCTTTGTGGACAATTTCTATTTATCAAAACAATTTCTATTTATCAGAACAATTTCTATTTATTGTAAAAGGGATCTGTCCAGCCAGAAGAGGAGGTTTTGCCTCTGCCCCAAATCCAAGGTGTGTGTGCAGGCAGAGCTGAGGRGGGAAATGAGTACATGGAAAATCCTACAACAAAAGGATGTTGAGGCTCTTTGAAGGCTCAGCCACCCCAAGAGCCTCGGGGTTTTCTCTGGTGACACCTGAGAGAGGAGAGCAGAACCAAACCCTGGTGAGGCCGCGGAGACTCTGCGGGTACAAAACCCCTCAAGCAGAGCTGGGAAAGCCAAACACAGAGCTCTGTCAAAGGCACCCCAAGAGAATCTGTCCCCCAGCAGAGCACCTACTGTCCCTCTCGGCCACGAAGGGCGGTGTCTGCACCCAGGCAGAGGTGGCAGGGCCCAGCTCGGCCCTCACGCGCAGCACCAGGGTCCAGCGGCGCCGCGCCGGCAGCGCACACCGCGTCTGGGGGATGYGGGAGCAACCCAGACCGCTCCACAGCGCCAGGGAGCCTCTGTGGAAACAAACACAGGAGAACGGAAATCACGGGGGGAAAATGGAAATAATGGGGATAAACCAATAATAACTGGGATAAACTGAAAATAACGGGGATAAACTGAAAATAACAGGGATAAACTGAAAATAACGGGGATAAACTGAAAATAACGGTGATAAAACTGAAAATAACGGGGATAAACCGTAAATAACGGGGATAAAACTGAAAATAACTGGGATAAACTGAAAATAACGGGGATAAACTGAAAATAACAGGGATAAACTGAAAATAACAGGGATAAACTGAAAATAATGGGGAAAAACTGAAAATAACAGGGATAAACTGAAAATAATGGGGAAAAACTGAAAATAAAAGGGGATAAACTGAAAATAACAGGGATAAACCATAAATAACACATATAAACTGCTAATAACGCACATAAACCGTAAATAACGGGGATAAACCGTAAATAACGGGGATGAACTGTCAATAAGGGGGATGAACTGTAAATAATGGGGATGAACCGTAAATAACGGGGATAAACCGTAAATAATGGATAAACTGAAAATAACAGAGATAAATCRTAAATAAGGGGGATAAACTGTAAATAATGAGGATAAAATGTAAATAACAGAGATAAATAACAGAGATAAACATTAAATAATGGAGATAAACTGTAAATAAAGGCAATAAACAGTAAATAATGCGGATATACCGTAAATAATGGAGATGAACTGTAAATAACAGGGATAAACCGTAAATAATGGGGATAAACAGAAAATAATGGGGATAAACCGTGAATAACAGGGATAAACCGTGAATAATGGAGATAAACTGTAAATAACGGAGATAAACCGTGAATAATGGAGATAAACCGTGAATAACGGAGATGAACCGTGAATAACAGAGATAAACCATAAATAACGGGGATAAACTGTAAATAACGCAGCTAAACCTTAAATAACGCACATAAACCACAAACAACGCAGATACACCACAGGCACAGCAGCACTGCGGCCTGGAATGCCCCCCTCACCCTGGTTCTGGTATCACAAAACTCCAGTTTTAATCCGGGTTTAACCTCAGGGCCCTCCCAGCTCCCCCATCCCCTTGGTATCTGGGGAAAGTTAAACTGGACAGAGAGAATCAGGAAAGGCTAAAATTCTGCAGGAACCGTGTGACATTTCTGGGTGTCCTCAGGGCTGCAGTCTCTCCTCAGCTCAGAGGACACATCACGGGCTAAGGGCCCGTCAGTCACCACAGAAGCTGCTTTTGGAAATACATAAAACATCTGTGAYAGAAAACCTTCTTTCATTCTGTGCATATTTATTTTTAAAGCAACTCTGATAAAAAACCCTCTTCCATTCTGTGCTTATTCATTTTTAGGGKTTTTWTTTTGTTTTTAAAACCACCTGTTATCCTGGATTAGAACATAGTTAGTTTGATTTAGAGCTATTTACTCACGTTTTGTATTGGGCTGTGTATAATACTGAGCCATTCTCCACAGGAACGGGAGACCACCTCAGAAAACTCTGGAAGTTGTAGGAATAAATCTCCACGTCCTYTGGTGCTGGTAAATGGGGAGCAGGTTCTAAAGGAAGAAGAGGAATAAAAATAATTATTGAAATGTTCAAGTGYACAAAAATCAATTCCAGTCTCCAAATTCCATCACCATTTATTACATTTCCACTSCTTTGCAGGCAAAATAATTTCCCCTCCTCCTCCCTCTATTTCCAGGGGCTCTGGTACATTCAGGTGGGGAGGCCCTGGCAYAGGGTAYCCAGAGAAGCTGTKGYTGCCMCTGGATCCCTGGCAGTGCCAGGGGTGGCACTGGATGGGATTTAAGGTCTCTCCCAAACCCAGCCAGTGTGGGCTTCTCTGTTTCTATGAACTCCTTGCTTTTATTCATTCCATGCAAAAGATAAAGTACCAAGTCAAGCACAAAACCATAAACCCCACTCAGCCCCCCATGAAGCCATAAATGAAGGTCACAGAATCCCAGAATCATCAAGGAGGGAAGAGCCCTTTGGGRTCACCCAACAGCACCCCATCACCCCAAAYCCTGTCCCCAAGGGCCACATCCAGACACCCCTGGGACACTCCCAGAGACAGGGACTGCACCTGAGCAGCTCATTCCAAGGCCTGACCACTCTGCAGGGAAATTTTATTCCAATCTTTAATCTGGACCTCCCCTGGTGCAATTTGAGGCCATTTCCTTTCCCTGCCCCCTCCTGTCAGGGAGTTGTGCAGAGCCACAAGGTCCTCCCAGAGCCTCCTTTGCTCCAGGCTGAGCTCCTTTCCCAGCTCCTGGGGCTCCAGCCCCTTCCCAGCTCCCTGAGCTGCTCCTCCCAGGATTTGATCTGCAGCCCCTTCTCTGACCCCTGGCAATCACAGCAGTTTCGCTGTTTCAATCATCAGCATCTCATGTTTGCCCCTGCACACCCCATCTGCTTCCTGCTAACTCTGAGGTCTGCAGTGATCTTTCCATGAGCCAGCTGGAAAAACCCCTTCAGGAGCTCATAGTTCCCCATCCTCTCCCAAACCTCAYGTTCTGCCAACTTTGGAGCCGACTGCACGARTCTGGGATGTCCCCCAGACTCAGCCCCTCCTGGAGCCCCTGGGTGGGCACAGGGGACACCRGCACCTCGAGCCCTGGGTCAGGAGKTGAYGCTGGAAGCCAAGAGGGAAGAGCTGTGTCTGGAGGACATGAAAACACGGCCCTGACAGCCCAGGAGGAGCAGGAGGAGGAGAAGGAGGAGGAGGAAGCTGCTGGGCTTGGAACACGGCCCAGAAGGGACAGACCCAGCCAGGGCAGGCAGGGAGCACAGCCAAGAGCCAGCAGGGAAATGGGGCGGGAGAAACCTGGAAGGGCTGAGGAGAGGAGAGCTGGGGACAGGGAGGGACAGCAGGAGAACCAAACCCAGCAAGGCCAGCTCCAGCAGCCCTCCCGCTCTGGGCTCTCTCCAGACACATCCTGAACCTCCAGGGACCTGCCTTGCTGGGCACCCCTTCCCTAGGGCCTGCCCCAGCAGGGAGAAAGGTTTCCTTCTGCACTTGATGTGTTTTTCTCCCTGGAGTGACCCCCTCACACCATCAGACTCATGGAATCAGGGAATGGTGGGGGTTGGAAGGGACTTTCAGCTCATCCAGTGCCACCYCTGCCATGGCAGGGACACCTCCCACTGTCCCAAGCTGCTTCCAGTCCCAATGTCCAGCCTGGCATGACAAAGACAAGCACAACAAGATATCCCACATCACAACAGCTCGATTTTTGTTCTGAAGGGCAGAGTCTCCTCAGACACAATTTGTTAATTTTTGTATCAACTAGAATGGAAGATCAAGAACTTGAGCCAAATTCTGACCCAGGTTTGTTTGGGAATTTGGGGTCATGTTAAAAAAAATTGGGKTTTTTTTTGTTTCTACATCAAGTTGCATTAAACCCTAAGTCAAAAATACCTTTTAACGAGTTGACTCTACTTTTCTAAGAAAAGCTGTTGCTGCCCCATTCCTGGAAGTGTCCAAGGCCAGGTTGGAGCAACATGGGTGAATGCAAGGTGTCCCTGCCCTTGGCAGGGGATGGAACAGTGATTTTAAAAATCCCTCTCAAGCCAAACCAGTCTGTGTTTCTCTCAAAGGTTTAATCAGGCCAGTTATTCCTTTCTCAGCGTCAGCTCTGGAGCACTGCTCTCAGTACTCWCACACACTGTGAGATTCCTCACAGCTTCCGAAACTATTCACCTCATGGGTATTGTGAAGGCCCCTAAGGAACCTCTCTTCATTCACAAGAAGTTTTCACTTTCCAGTTACACAGATTCTTTCTTGCACCCTGTCTGCTGGTCTGGCACGTGGTGAGGTATCTCACACCATCTGTGCCCTCAGACATCTGACACACACCCATGAGAGAATCCCAGGAACCACTCAGAATGAAACACCAGGGGAAGCAATTCCCAGCCCATCTGAAAAATGAATGAAGAAAACAGCAACGATGGACAGGGTGAGAGGAGACTTTGGGCAGGAATTGTTCCCTGGGAGGGTGGGCAGGCCCTGGCACAGRGTGCCCAGAGAAGCTGTGGCTGCCCCTGGATCCCTKKSAGTGCCCAAGGCCAGGCTGGACATTGGGGCTGGGAGCAGCCTGGGACAGTGGGAGATGTCCCTGCCCATGGCAGGGGTGGCACTGGGTGGGCTCTGAGGTCCCTCCAACCCAAACCAGTCAGGGAGCCCATGACTGTACACTGAATATTTTGCATTCAGAACGATCACTTCCCCAGCCAGCCCCAGAAACACTGCAGGGGCTAKCAGAGACACTGCAGGGGCTAGCAGAGACACTGTCAGCCCTCTGTCTCTGTCTGCAGATGAACACGAGGGTGCCACGAGGCTGCGGAGCTGTTTCCACAACCCATCGAGGGAAATGTGTGCTTCTGTGGCATCCCTCCTCCCAACAGGGCAGTGACTCCACTGCTGATATCACACAGCTTCCTGCTGATCTCCACTTCGTATCAGCCAAAATTGTGAAATGAACACCTCAAACACAGCACCCACAGATCCAAATATCATCAAAACCCCAAACTCCCTCAGCCAAGGAAAGCCAGAGTGGTCCCATTTTTCTTTTCCAGCTGGAAGGGGTTTTCACCAAGCTGGTTCTTCCTAGAGCAGCGGCCTAAGAAGGCTCAGATTGTTTTTTCCTGCTGCAGAGACTCCCTGACGTTTCACACCACAAGTCAGAGCTTTCACACAGCAGAGTGTGAAGCCACAAAGTCACARCCAGTGAAAGCAGCTTGGCTGGGCTGACCCACCCGTGTCCCAGCTCCTGCTGCGCCTCAGGGACTCCTGATCCCTTCCCCTGCATCAGCCCCACAACAACTGCCCTGCTACATGGGCAAAGAAGTAACCTGTGCTTTGGGGGATTTGGTGTGGRCTTGTGCTGTTCTACTGCACCAAAGTGGCTTCTCCTCTTGTAACTGGGATGGTGRAAGGCTCCTYRTCCATGGCAGGGGGTGGAATGAGATGAGCTTAAAGGTCCCTTCCACTCCATTCTGGAATTCTGTGATTCCCAGAGCTCCCTGGAAGTRCCACTGCAGCTGATGGGATGAAACTGGGCAGTTGTGACTGCAGCAGGCCCTGCCCTGGTTTGCCTCAGCCCAGCCATGTCTGGAACAGCCAGAGAGCCACAAAGGGCTCAGCAGTGCCAGGCTGCTCAGGCCTTGGGCATCAAGGGGATGTGGTACACGGGATATGGGATGGGCTGAACTCACCGAGAACCCAAGAGAGCACCACATTCTGTGCACACCTCGTTCAGTCCTAGAGGGCTTTGGGAGGGAAGGGACCTTAACTATTAKCTTGTTCCACCCCCTGCCATGGCAGGGACACCTCCACTGTCCCAGGCTRCTCCCAGTCCCAATGTCCAGCCTGGCCTTGGGCACTCAAAGGGATCCAGGGGCAGCCACAGTTTCTCTGGGCACCTGTGCCAGGGCCTGCCCACCCTCCCAGGGAACAATCCCTGCCCAATATCCCATCTGGCCCTGCCCTCTGGCACTGGGAAGCCATTCCCTGGCTTCTGTCCTTCTCCAGCTSTCCTGGAGCCCCTTCAGGCCCTGGAAGTAGTGTCCCATCCTCYCCCAAACCTCACGTTCTGCCAACTTTGGAGCCGACTGCACGAGGCAGGAAAGGGCAGAGCCTCTGGGATGGGGATGTCCCCCAGATTCAGCCCCTCTTGGAGCCCCTGGGTGGGCACAGGAGCCACCGGCACAGGAGCCACCAGCACCTTGAGCTCCCTGGATCCTTCCCTTCCCCAGGGGAGCACCCCCAGCTCTCCCAGCCYGGCTCCAGAGCAGAGGGGCTCCCCAGGGACATTCTTGGAGCCGGGATCACCGAGCTCCAGCCAGACCGAGCCTGCAGAGCGAACCCCCACTATGGGAGAGCATTTCCATCAAACCTGAACCCAAACATGCATCGATCCTCACAGCYGGACGGCCTTTAATGAATGAAACGGGGCCACGGCACAAACCTCAGCCACAGCAACACCGGAAGGATCCGCCCCCGCGCAGCTTCGGCCACAGCAGGGCCAGCMCAGCCCAGCACAGCCCACAGCCTTTGGGGCTTTGGGAGCAGCATCCCCGGGCTGGGCAGGACGGATCCGGGACGGACCCACCCAGCCCCGGGCACGGGCTGAGCCCCCGCCCCGGAAAGCCGGGGGGAGAGGACGGGCGGGGAGCACCGATAGCGGGCACCGATAGCGGGTACCGATACCGGCCCCGGGCTCCGACCCCGGCCCCGGGCTCCGACCCCGGCCCCGGGCACCGATAGCGGCCCCGAGCACGGATACCGACCCCGGACACCCATACCAGGCACCAGCCCCGAGCACCGCGCGGCGACACCGAGACGGCGCCCGCAGCCGCCCAAACCCCACATGCACCAAAACCCCGAAAACACCCGAAACCCGCAGCCACCCCCGCATCCCCCCAAACCCCGCACCCACCTGTGCCCGCAGCCCTCGCCGAGCCCAGCAGGAGCAGCGGGAGCAGCGGGAGGCAGCGCAGCGGAGCCCGGCCCCGCATGGCCCGAGAGGCAGCGCCGGCCCCGCACGGGCCCGCAGCGGCCGCGGGTCCGCCCCGAGAGCCGCCGGGTGGGGCGGGGCAGCGGCACGCTCCGACCTCCCCCTGTCACTGTCACCGCCACCGCCACCGCTCCGCCCCCGGGGCTGAGCCCGGCCCGGCCCCGCCCGAGCACCCGCGAGAGGTTCCGGGGGATCGGGGGCAGCGGCGGCTCGGGACGGGCGGAGACCGGCGGTGGAGGGATGTGCTGCGGTGCGGAGGGCTGTCCCTGCCCAGGGCCCTGTCCCTGTCCCTGTCCTGCCCCCACATCCCCTCCCCGTCCCTGTCCCGGTCCCCACATCCCGTCCCCGTCCCTGTCTCTGTGGTCGATTGAGCAAATCTCGCCTTGCAGCGGTTGAAGTTCCCGGCTTTCTCCGGCTGCAGTGCCCACACACCTGCGCCTGATAGCACAGAGAGCAAAGATTGGCACTGAACACGCTGCCGGGAGGCTGCGTCCTTCCAAAGACTGCGAGGTGATAGAACAAAGTGATTGTCTAAAAATTCACCATCAGCGATCTGGTGGTTTAAGAGCCTCTGCACTGTTTTAGTTAAAAATACATAAAACGAAGGGGTATTTCGTATGTCTCCTCAGCATAGCCAAAATACTCTTTCTTAAGCACTTCAGAGAGGAGATGTGGTATTTATTATTATTATTATTATTATTATTAGTCGTAGTCGTAGTAGTAATAGTAGTCAGCGGGGCCGTGGCTGGCAGGACTGCCAACAGAGGAAAGCGAGCAGGGTGACGGTACCCCAAACATCTTTAATTAATCTTTCATTAATCTTTCATTAATCTTTCATTAATCTTTAATTACCACCGACGATGTTTGCCTGCCTGAGGGGTCCCTGAGCAGCGCTGGCACCGCTGCCCTGGGGTTTGTGCCCGAAGAGAAGCCGCGGGTGCGGCAGGGGCTGGCGTTCGGAGCAGTGRGCAGRGCTGGCAGGGCAGGGCTGGGCAGCTCTGATTCCCGAACGGGTGAATCACTGGGTTTGGCTGCAGTTCAGCTCCCCGGCAATCCACGGGGGAATTTCTCCCCGCTCTTGGCCCGAGCTCTCAGAGCGCAGCTCGGTTTGCAGGGAGTGGCAGCAATAATTAACGCCGACATATAGAATGARCTCTAGAAAGGGGCATTAAAAAAAGGGGAAAACCCAGGAAACACCGAAATCCGAGGGGTTATCAGCATCAAATGGGCTGGGGGATCAGTCTGGCGGTTGCAGCCTGATATCGCCGCACCCAGCCTGCCCGACCTGTCCTTGAACCCTGCGGGAAGAGCGSCGCCTCTGCCAAGTTCTGCTGAATCCCTGCGGGATTTCCCGGCGCTGACACAGACATCTCTAATCCCAGCCCGAGGGCACCGCAGGGACTCCACGGGCAGGGAGACTCCGRGAGTGAGGACAGGCTGGGACAGCACTGCAGTTTCTGAGCAGGAACATTAAACAGGAAATCAGAGTGTTCAGAGAACACTTTAATTGGAGGGGCACCTTAATTCGGGAGGGCCTGATTGACAGAAGAATCGTGGAGGAACTCAGAATGAAAGAAACTCAATTTATGACTTACACAGAGGGGTTTCCCCTCCTCCCTTCTGCTAAAGGACAAGTTTTGTTACAGAAATCCCAGACCTTGTCATGTGTGTTTGCCCTTTGCCAGGCCAGAGGGGAAACTTGGGCAGGGTTCTGGTTTTGCCCCAGCTGATCTCTGTCTTGCCTTGAACGTCCTAATAAATCAAAGCCCAAGAAATTACTCTCCTGGAGCCCTTTCTGGTAGGAGGGAGGTCAAAGTGAGAAAAAGTTCATGGAAGATGTGGTTTTCACCAGCAGAGGATAAGRGATGATTTCTGGAAACTGGGAGCTTCAGTAAAGTGGAGAGAATGGAGAATGAAGTGATTTAGTGAAGACAGAGGGATGAGAGTCAATGTGACATCTGATCTATCAACCAGACCCCCACCAAAAAAAAATTATTATCAATAACCCAGGAAATCCACAGAACCTACAGGAGCTCAGGGATAATTCTGTGTGTTGGCTTTCTTGTCTTGGAACTTAGGGAGAAGAAAGCAGAGTCAATGTCAAATCAGTGATGGATCAATAATCGCATGATTTTCCTGCAGCCAAATTTCTGGCACAGAGTCCTGAAAAAAAAGTTGAATCTACAAAAAAATGAGGAAGGCTTCCAAAAATAACACAGAGRAAATTAATCTGTTGTCAGACCCAGGGTCAGTTCCACAGCAGGTAGGGATCAGGATGTAAATAATTTTAGGAGTGAAATCAGCCCCCTACCTTGTGTTCCCCAATTGCCTCTCCTTTCATGTAAAGAATCGCTCAGGATAACTCGGTCAGGAAACTGAAACAAGGGAGAAAAGCAAGAAGGATCCCCCATCCTATTCAAATTGCACTTCAGAAAGCCTCAGACAAATTCCAGGCTCATTAGACCAAAAGCTCTTCAAACTCTTCCTCATTCCTCGCCCCTCCTGCTGTTTGCTGYTTGGATTTTTGATCTTCTTCCTGGAAGAGAAACAGAATTGAGTTGTTCAATACTGGCCTGACATGAAAAGGAMAAAAATTCTTACAGAAACCCCACATTGGTCTGGTCAGCCTCAAACTCTCCCTTGCAAACTCTGCTGATGTGTTGGGATGATCTGGACCCTCRTGTGCCTGTGGGGCCTTCTGGAAGTCAATGGAAAATGGTTCAGATGTGTAAATAGGCATCTCCAGTTCAGAAAGACATTTTGGTTCCAATCTCCAGAAAAATACCTGCCCTCTGGCACTGGGAAGCCATTCCCTGGCTCCTGTCCCTGCAGCCCTTGTCCCCAGTCCCTCTCCAGCTCTCATGGAGCCCCTTCAGGCCCTGGAAGAATTCGACCTAAAGGTCCGGGTACAGAGAGGGAAGGAAAAGATCTGAGTTTTGAAGGAAGAGATCTGAGTTTTACCTGGGAAGCCGAAGCTGCCACGCTTGGCATTTCCAGGTGGCAGCACAGGGAAGAGTTTGCAGTTCCAGGAATGTCCTGGCAAAAGCTGGGAAACCCTTGGGTTTGTTTAGCAGTGACACAGGTATGGCCTGTGGGATTCTCTGGGGGTTGTTCTCCCCACTCCCAGCACAGCAGCAAAGGGGACTCAGTGCCAGGAGCCAGGGAATGGCTTTCCCAGTGCCAGAGGGCAGGGCCAGATGGGATATTGGGCAGGAATTGTTCCCTGGGAGGGTGGGGAGGCCCTGGCACAGGGTGCCCAGAGAAGCTGTGGCTGCCCCTGGATCCCTTTGAGTGCCCAAGGCCAGGCTGGACATTGGGGCTGGGAGCAGCCTGGGACAGTGGGAGGGGTTCCTGTTCATGGCAGGGGTGGCACTGGGTGGGCTTTAAGGTCCCTTCCCCATCCAAACCAGTTTGGGGTTCTGTGATTTCCCGGGGCTCAGGTGACACAGTTTGTGCCTGTCAAAAGGAGAGGTCACAAAGAGATCAGGAAGGAAAGCAGCAGCTCCTCCTCCCTCCCTGGGCTATGTTTGCATGTTCTGAGCTCTGACCCCGAGCAGGATTTGGGGTTTGCTGGTGAATTCAGAGCTGGCCCAGACTTTCCTGGAGCYTTTGGGTCTGCTGTGTGTGCATTTCACCATGCTCTGAGGCTTAAAGTAAAAAAAACAGACGGTTTAGTGATTCATTTTCAGTAAATCTGTGATGAAACCGAGTCTCCCGGAGGCAGAGGAAGTGCAGTCAGGCACTGCCTGATCAGAGCAGTTTCCATGAGCAGAATAAACAGAGATGTACWTGTGTGGAGAGATAAACACCCCACATCTGCCAGGAATAAACYTGTTTGCCTGATCAGCTTTCCTAAGAAAAGTCTTGTCTTGCTGTCTGAAATTCAGCCTTAATTTGGGGTGTCTGGGCATTAATATTGAGAGCTGTRAAGAGTTGTAACAAAAAGATCACAGTGGCTAAAAAAAGTCAGTTCCTCAAACGGTGACATTTCACTAGAATCACAGAATTATGGAAGGTTTGGGCTGCAGGGACCTTAAAGCCCACCCAGTGCCACCCCTGCCATGGCAGGGACA